CCATTGCTGTGGTGTTTTCTTTAGTACTTGTGTTGCAGCTCCCGGTGTGGGATTCATGGTCAGGGCACTGTATCTGGCAGATCTCTAAAGCAAAGCAGTGCCCCTACCCTGCTGAAAACAGCATTGAATTTATTGACAGGTGTCACTGGCCTTTTTCCTTCAGCAGTGGGTGGGTGGGCGAGTACATTGGCTGCATAGTCATGATATATTATAAAATATGCTAATTAATATTATAAAATTCAAAGCTGTATGGGCATGCTATTTAAGACTTGCAGCGTGTGTGTGGAAGACTTTTTTCTCCAGTTACACCCAAGTCGGTCCAACTGGAAGCAATGGGTCAAATTTTGCCCGTGTGAAGTTTGTACATTTTCTTGGTGCCTTGTAAAAAGGCAAACAGATATAGATAGGTGCCTTGCAGAACAGCTGCATGACTCACAGTACAACTCAGTGCGGTGAGAACATGCCAATTGAATTGTTTCCGGCACTGCGCTTGATCAAGCTGGTTGCTCCTTTTGTCTTCTCGATGAGCTTTGCAACATAATCTAAGTGTTAATAATTGACTGCAGGCTTTATAATTAGGCATTATGAGGTAAATGTATCTCCACCCAGAGAGGAGCTAAAATAACATTATTAACGATATTGCACTTGAAGGCAAAAGGTGCTCTTTCATTGTTGATTACACTTGTTGGTTTCTTACCCGTTTTCAGCTATAAAATACTAGAGTGAACCAAATGATGAACTAGTTCTGAAGGTTGTACAAATTTCTAGGAAAACATTGGATGCATACATAGTTGAAATAAACAAGTAGGGCCAGATTTTTCAAAGCACTTCCTGCCAATATAAACATATAGGTGAAGTAGCCAAATCCTTAGCACAGCTCAGCATCCATTTTTTTCTCCTTGCTTTGTAACTTACCAAACGGTAATGTTTACACCATTGATGAATCCCTATGCTGGCATAGCTTTTACTGTCTGGTATCATTACGTTTTGATGTAAGGGATCTTGGCAACAACCAACCATATTACCCATGGAAATTCACAGAATACAACTGACATTCCTGAAATGCAGAAGTACCCGTACTTTAGGGTTTTCCTCATTCTTTCATAGGAATTGAGAAAGGACAAGTGAGCATTTTTACTGAAAGGGGACCTCACAAGTTGTTGCTTGCCCACCAGTAAAACTTATTTATCTTTATTACGTGAACAGTTCCTGTTTGTAGTGAATAAGACTGTGTTGCTGTATAAATGTCCAATTATAACTCATCTCCCATTCTTACAAAATAAAGCAGCGGCTGCATGCACGTACGGCAGCCCTAGCGCTGCCTTTCCCCGCAGTCAAGCTGTACATGCACTGGAGTTCTGTTTGTTTCCTTTTTCTATTATAATGTGCTTAATGTCATATTAAGAAATGAATGAGTACGTGTCTAGTAATGGTGGATTGCAAACATGCAATTCACACTGCATACCAGGAGGAGTGTCAAGCCCACAAGCAAAACACAAGTGATACAAGCAGAATAGGCGACAAGTATGAACCAGAGCCCTTTGCATTCAAAAGAGACTCCTCCTGGCTTGGTGTGGTTTGGATCAAAACTAGGATAATATTCTGTGTAGCTGCAAAGATGAAAGAGAAATGAAGTAGGTGGATAAGGACGGGGATCTGCTGAGAAAGTCTATCCAGCCGCAAAATGTGAAGTTGTGGATGCTGTACAAGAATCACGATGTAATTTAAAGATTGTACTGAAAGTGTAATTTTTTAATTTATTTTTATTTTTTTAAATTTGTTCTGACTGCTGGCAACTAAAATGGTAGCTCTAGTAAAAATAGCATTCTGGAAGAAGGGGAATAGACTTATACCTTGAGCCAATGCTTGTTATTGTCAGCATGAGCATACTGTATTGTCCATAAACATACAACATGCATATTAAAGGAGGGAATATATTGCTAGAACCTACTGTGCCATGCAATAAATTGCTATTAATTATCTCTTTTAGTATTAATAGTGTACCAGACACTCTGTTGCTCAATGAGATAGGAGAAAGGAGAGTGAGCCCCTGCTATTGTAAGCTGGCATTGCTGCAGTGAGGTCAGTGCCTTCTGATCTCCAAGAGGGCACAGAGTGAGTACCAGATCTCCTCTGGCCCTCGCTCTGGTGTAAAATGTGGCAAGTTGATTTTTTACAAAAAAGGAACTTCAAAACTTTCCACTAAAAATTTCTCCCAAACAAAACTGTGGATCTTGAGTAATACAGGACTTGTTTTGTCTGTACTCCCCTCCAGAAACATCAGGGTCCAGCAGGATAGGGGAGACCCTGTGCCTGGTCCTCAGAGGATATTGGCTGGCTGGAGAACAGCAAGCAGCACCGCAGAGAAGAGTGCAATAGTCAGCGCAAGAACGTGACCACATATGAGCTACAGTGGTTTCTCTAGCAGCCCCCCTCAGCCGTACCTGCTGTGGTGCCCTGTACTGAAATAGCTGTGGGGTGGGACGACCATGCAGATGGGAAACCTTGTCTGTGCTGTCCTGGCCTTACCCTGACTGTTTGTTTGTTTCAGATATGGAGACGAAAAGAGCAGAAGCCCTCTTCAATGACAGTAAGTGAGGGCTTTTTAAGCCTGGGAAATCTCCAATTTGTTTTAATTGGCATTAATAGTCTCTGAGCACTTTTCCTGACCCTTAAAAGCCTTTTCTCATCCTCCTAATGGTGAAGTACAAGGTCTTGTACTTCACACACATGAGCCGTGTGTTTAAAAATCCTGCTCAGTCATGAGGAAGCCTTTTTTATTAGTGTCTTCTGGGATATGTAGGAAGACTGGCTTGAAAGTAGTGGTGATGTGGTAAAAATACCTTCTAGAAAAAGTCTACACCCACTGCTGAGTTCCCTAATCAGTTTTTTTTTCAGCAAGATGTTCCTTCTGTTAAAAATATCAGCGATTCTGTGAGAAAAGAGCAAACGATGAGAAAAGAGCAAGTGCTGAGGGCTCTAGAGAAATCCCCAGCGTTGGGCAGGGAGGAGACACACAGGTCCTGCTGCGTAAGTGCCTATGGCACACTTCTGCCTCCAGCAGTGCTGGTGTGGAAGGTGGAGGGTGCATCTTAAATGTAAACCCTGCTATCTAGGAAACATAGGACTTAGCCAGTGAGGGCTGAGCACTGTAATGTTCAGGACATTTGTTTATTTACTAGCCTGATCCAGTTGCTGTTGGTACTGGTGAGAGCTTTTACACTATGTCTGCTTAATCGTGTATTTGGACATGCAGAGACTAAGCCATGTTTCTATATGAAAGCTAAGCCATTTCAGGTGACTCCTAGGTGTACGTAGTAAAATTGAGTGAGTGAGGAGAACTTCCAATAAATAAAGGAACTTAATTGCTTGGGCTAGTTGACTGCTTTCATGTCAGGCACAGCAGCTAGCTGAAAGGTGTACTATAATATGCAAAAGGCAGGAGAGTCCTTATCACGGATTTGAGTGCATTTTATATTTGAGTAGATTATAGTTAGAAGCAATCTCTATTATAAATTGATTAAAACATGTACTTGAATAGAATACTTTATCAAATCTAATCCTGCCTGCACAGAGCAGACACCCTGTTGTCTGTCTCCCTGATGTAAAGTTATTAGAACTGCATCTTGGAGCAGTGACTGCAGAATCTGTTTCATATATGCTTGTCTTGGATGCTGTAGCATAACAACTCATCTCCACCTTGCTACCTGTTATTTTCCTATACACACATTAAGTGACGAGATTTACACCTGAACATGTACCATCATATTGTTCAATTGGCGCTTTAAGGATGGCAGCCTAGCAGAGACCTCTAATGCAGCCTGTGAGTGAGAAGTGCCCCAAAAGCCGGTAGGATTGGGTACATGCAGAAGAGTTTGGAATAATGGCTTTCTGTGTGCTCTCAGAAATTGGGAATATGTCATTTTCTTTAGTGTGCATTGGAAGGAAAGAAGGACCATGAGGAAATGTACAGAAGTTACATCAGCCTGTGATTATAATGAAAATGTTCTGGATTTTGGAATGGCTAGTAGCACAAAATTGTTCCTTATGGAAATATAAGGCAATATGATTGGTCTTCTCAAGGTATTGCTGTAGGGGTTAAGTTGAGGTATTTTGTTTTTAAGCTTTCAGAGAAGGAAGTCAGCTTGTTTGGAATTGTAATAGTCATAAAAAGCCATATTTGCTTACAAGTTGGGTTTCTTTTAACTCTGGGAAGGTTTGATCAGTTCCTTAGCAGCAGGCTGTCAAGTACTGGAAGATAAAATAACATCACTTTTTGGGTCCGTTTTAGGTGCTGGTGTTCTGGGCACTGATGGAACTGAGCTTTTCCCTGTGTTTTGAACATTGACTGCTCAGGTGGTTGACAGGATTGTGCAGTTTTAGGACCAGTAATTGAGGATTACCAATAGTTTTTAGGAGGGAAACGTGCTAGTGCAGACAGTCTTATCAATTATGGTATATTCTCCAGCTTTCCTTTCACACAGAAGGTTTTGGACAAGTAGACAAGTAGATTTAGATTTCACTGATTTCCTTCATTGTGGTTTTAAACCTCAGAAACAGGGCAGACTCTACACTGAGCACGAGCTTCTCAATATTTTATGATTTTTTTTTTCAAATTTATGAACAGCTTTCAATCTGCTGTGTTAATGCTGCTGCTTTTGACTGTGAGGTCCTGTTAACATAACCCTGTGCAGATTCTAGCAGGAAGGGGCAGAGGTTACCCTGTGCGTGGCTCCAGTGTTTCGCTTCTGAGGACTTCAAGGGCCCTGGGGCTGGCAGCTCTTCAGTGACGTACTACCATTTTCTGCTTTGTTCCCCTCTGGGTCACTGTCTGCGGGAGACAGACAGTGCAATGGTTTGGATTGTGTTGTCACTATGCAAATAATTCTTAGCTCTGTCTCTTTTTCAATGAATTGGGATAGTCCTGCCTATCAACTTTTCCTAATGTCTAGCTGAAATCGGGGCCTGGATGAAAACTAGTGGGTCTTGGTCCAGGTAAGATGGATTTGATGCTGTTTGGATGGGAGAAGACTGCTGAAACAGCTCTGTCCATTGAGGAAGTTTCTAAAGCTACAGGGGAGCTTCAGCTGCTCCTGACTATCCTGAGTTTCGTGGCTGAAACCATGGATATTTTCATTTCTCTCTGGGTTTGGAGGATAATACTTTTTGCCATGGATGCACACAGTGCTGGAGGTATCCATGCCTTTGTCATCTCTGGCTTGGATTAGTGTGATGCTCTTTGCCTGAAGTGCCTCTCCAGGTCCACCTGCACACTGCCATTTGTGCAATGCGCAGTTGCCTGTTTCTAGGTGACATCTTGCTGATGTAATCTGTGTGCATGCGTGGTAAAAACCCATGGCTCGGATCATTCCCATCTTAGATTTTGCCTTGTTCTTGTTTTATCCTAATGACAAATTACCTGGGACATTAAAGTTAGCAATCCCTGTATTTGGGAACTGTCCTGGGTGTGTGGTGAAGGTTTTGATTTCTGATTTGGGCTGCTCACGCAGCTAAGCCTGAATGGTTGACCATCATGGCTTTCCATAATAGTCAGTTTTTCATTCAGGCTTCTAACAGAATGGGTTGTGCATGAGGATCTCTGATTTGGGGGACTGGTGGAAGGTATGTTTTCTTGTTGATGTTAATACTGTTAGAGAACCTAGGCGGTGTCTAATTTTACATATGTTTTCCACAGCCATTAGCA